ATTGACCATAATTTAACCGGATGTTAAAAGAAAAAAAAAAAAATCTACCCGTCCGATTGAAATTGAAAAAGACGAGGTTAAGCACCGGAATTGAGCATTGGGCTCAAGTTGGGCTTCGATAAATATAGGGTTATTATCTATTATCATTAGGCCTTTTTATGAGTTTGGTTTGTATTTAATCTTTGGCTTGTTTGCAGAAAGAAACCATTATCAAACAATTAAATCAAAACAACAATCTCTCTCTCTCTCTCGTCTTATTCCTCTCCTCTTTCGCTTTCTTCTGATCTTCTTCCCTATTTCTTCTGGTTTCTCATCTCATTTTCTTAATCTCTAGATAATTCCATTTCAGAGCTTATCAGACGATTCTGGTAAAATTCCAATTTGGTCGATCATTTTCCTCTCTCGCCTTTGTTGAAAAAGAATCTCCCCACTTTCTCTTCTCTCTTGTCTTTCCCATTCTGGTAAAGTACAATTCTTACTCCCTCCTTTTTTCTGATTCGGCTACGACCAAATTCCATGCTAGCTTCCGTCTTGGTCGAGCTGCTGATTGTGTCTGATTTCTAGGATGTCAGAATTGCAATTGGAATCGTAAGTTTCTTACTTGTTCTCAGTTATCTTCTGTCGATGATCTTTGATCCTTCCCCTTTTTTGTCGGACAAAACCTACTTGCTGCTGATCTTGATCGTTTCGCTGATGGGTTTCTGTTAAATTCTGCTTAGAAATCAGAATCATGGATCCTAAGTAGTAATTCGAGATATGTGTATGTTTTGTCACTGACTTTTGTGTTAATTGCGTTGTCCTGTTCTGAAATTTCGTTTATAAACGTTTCAATGTTTTTGCTTGTTTAGGTTTTCGTTAACTCTGTGAATAATCTGATTGATAAGTGATGACCAAAAAGATGAGGAGGGTAGGGAAGTACGAGCTTGGCCGTACCATAGGTGAAGGCACCTTTGCTAAGGTTAAGTTTGCGAGGAATACAGACACTGGAGAGTATGTTGCTATGAAAATTATGGCTAAGAGTACAATACTTAAGCACAGAATGGTTGATCAGGTTTGTTCTGGAGTGTTTTTAAATGAATCTTAGGTTGTTGCGTACGTGCTTTTTCGTTTAACTTGTTTTTTCCCCTCTTGTCCAGATAAAAAGAGAGATATCCATAATGAAGATTGTCCGACACCCAAACATAGTGAGGTTGTATGAGGTATGTATCTTTCCCTGCGTGTGCGTAATTTGCTTACTGAGTTGTTTGCATCATCGTCCGTCTAATGCCTGGTTCTTCTCTTCGTGCTTTCGGGATTTGTAGGTCTTGGCAAGTCGTTCAAAAATATATATAGTTTTGGAGTTTGTGACAGGAGGAGAGCTCTTTGATAGAATTGTAAGGAATTTACTACTTCTATGCTTTTTTAGTGTTCACTAGTAAAATTTCTGGGTTTTTTTAAAATCTTTGTTTGTCTTGGATATCTTCTGGTCATGCAGGTTCATAAGGGAAGACTTGAAGAAAGTGAGTCACGCAAATACTTTCAACAGCTTGTAGATGCGGTTGCTCATTGTCACTCCAAAGGTGTTTACCACCGTGATCTAAAAGTGAAGCCCTCTCTTGCTAACTAGTTTTCCTTAGAATACTTCTATTCTTTTGTTGTATAGTGTTGTAATCCAGACTTGATATCTATGTGTCATTGTGATATTCAGCCAGAAAATCTTTTACTCGATACTAATGGAAATCTGAAGGTTTCGGATTTCGGGCTCAGTGCATTGCCTCAACAAGTAAGTGCTCATATCTCTGCTTCAGCTGACAACACTCTTGCTCGCTTAGATTTTTTCAGCTGTGTAAAATTTCTCTCTTCTTTCTCTTTCATTCATATGTTATATACTCAATCAGGGAGTAGAGCTTTTGCACACCACATGTGGAACGCCAAACTATGTAGCTCCTGAGGTACTTAGTGGACAGGGTTACGATGGTGCAGCAGCAGATATTTGGTCTTGCGGGGTTATTCTTTTCGTTATCATGGCTGGATTTTTACCCTTTTCTGAGACAGATCTTCCAGGTTTGTATAGAAAAGTAAGTATCAATTCTTTTAGAAATGTCCATGGGCTTTAGCATTTTCTCGACACCTATCAGGATTTTGGAGTATTCCACATGCTTTACTCTTTGAACTTCCGGCTGTTGACACATAATGCATTTTCTTTAGGAAGGTAGCTTGTTACTATATCCGGTTGATATTAATTTCACTGCAAATTTGAGCAAAAAACATAAGGAATTCCTTGCTGTGGGTTTTGCTAAACCGTTACGTGATTAGATTTCGCAAATCTTCCTTTGGTTTTGAGCTTCATATTCAGTATTATTTTGTACAGATAAATGCAGCAGAATTTTCTTGTCCGTCGTGGTTTTCTGCAGAAGTGAAGTCTTTAATACATGGGATACTTGACCCCAATCCCAAAACAGTGAGTATTTTGCTTTGTTATCTCTGAGCTTTCAAGTTTGCTG